AATATAGTATACATAGTAATTCAAAATGGCACAACGTCTTACTTACAGACGGCGTTTAAGTTATAATACCAAATCTATAGAGTGAAAGTAATCAAGACACCAGGCGAGTTTTGATAATTATGAACTTGTAAAAAATTTAATCAAATTTTTTATTAATATGTTTGCAGGTGGTAAACTTACATGGCTTTACGAAAAGAAACCTGCCAAAGGTCCTCATTGTGGTGACTGTGGGATTAGAATTCCTGGTGTAATATATATATATATATATATATATATTGATCACAAGGCTTTTTCAATTACAAATTTTATTTATTCCTAATTTTACTTTGGATGTAAAAACCGTCACAGATCCCTGCCCTTCGGCCACGTGAATACGCAAGAATTTCTAAACGACAAAAGAAAGTACAACGTGCCTATGGAGGTAGTCGTTGTGCTAAATGTGTTAGAAATCGGTATGTGTAATCAATGTATAAATCATCAAAAAATCAAAAACTAATTAAACTTAATAATATATTTGTATTTGTATAGCATTGTCCGGGCATTTTTAATTGAGGAACAGAAGATTGTCAAAAAAGTTCTTAAGGGTCAAGCTAAACCACCCAAGAAGAAGAAGTAATAATATTAATTAGTACGATGATTTTAATAAATTATTTTCAACTTAATTATAATTGTGTGATATTAATTAATTAATTACTGTTACATAATTTTTATCATTCCAAAAAAAATAAATCTTTTTTTTTTCATGAATTAAATAAAACTCATCAGATCCAGGGAAAAAATGTAACCTTTATATCTTGTGTGTCCTATTTATTATGGTTATATGATTCTTATCAATGATAAGCTTATACCCTGTCATAATTTTGATATTGTAAATATTGCTTGTAGTAAATCTACATTGAGATTATTCTTGGACTTGTTTTTGTGAGACATAGTATTTTGTATAGTGACGTATATTATCATCAAAGGATATTACAAGAAAATACAGTTACGGTATACTGCATGACTGCTTTTTCACATATTCATAGACGGATCGTCAATGAAACCCTATGTAAACAATCGTAAGAACCTGAGATATCGAATCATATGTAATATTTTGCGGAATTTTCAAAAAACCAGGTTCGAGTACTTTCTTCCGGATATTGATATTAACACATTTAATATCGAGCTCAGGTTGTTTGCTGCCAACCCTCCGGTAATTTGTTGCCTCGTACTTTTTTTTTGCTCGAGTCTGGGCTAATTCGCTTTCCGGCTCATAGAGAAAAAGTTTTTGTTGTATGTGCAAGAGCTTCATTGTGCACGGCCTTGGTATTATCTATTTGTTATCTGGGCGATGTGATATTTTTTACTTTAATGAACAAATTTTTTCTTCTACAACGACCACGAAGGATCAAAATATAATATGCTAAGGCCGTTTCAACCCGGGTGGGAGATTATGAATAAATGTGTGCCTGCAAGCGTCGCTTATTCATGATATACTTCTCAAAAGTTAAAGGAAAAAACCTGGTGGCCTCAGATACATCCTACCTCATCCACTCAATATTGTCGAGGTCGAGTGAGACTGACGCGGGATTTATATAAATCTTGACACCCGAATTCGATGTGTTTGATTTTATGGTTGGTCTTGCTTGGCCTATTATTCTACGCCTTGCAACAACAAATTCAGATTACTAGGTTCTAGCCTTACAAGTACTTTCCAGCATTACCTGTTTGCCTATCATGAAAACCGGAATTTATGCTAACTCCACTTTTCTGAGCGAAGGCATTTGAAGTGGATATCCGATACAGTTTATAGAATTTCTCGGCAAAAAAAAAATTAGTTGTTTTATTTTTTGTCTTTCCGTCATGCTTTTTATTGCATTGGATTCAATCTTCTATATACATCATATACACACGATATCTATCTTCTTGAAAAGCGAGCGATTGGAACAAATAATCAATCAAACACCAACTTTTGATGATGAGAAGAAGACGATCTTATCGATATTATTTGCAGGATAAATCTCAACAGTTTTAATATTTGTCACTTGTTTATAATATTATGTATAATAGATGAAAGAATTATTTTAAAAATCTATATATAAAATATTAAATTTTAATTCTAAAATTATATTAAGTTCTATCTACCAATTATATTATATTATATTTATTATATTTATGTTATTATATAAAAAAGAGTTTAATAATAAATAACGATGATAAGGTTAAGTGACAAGAACAAAAATTAAGAAAAAGAATATTATGACTGCAAATATTTTAACTACTAGCCATCTATTAGATGAAATGCTAGCATAATATTTTAGCAATTCTTTTTGTGCACCCTCAACATGATTTTGTATTTCTTCTGTATTTGCATCAATCCTTTTTTATTATATTAAAAATAAAATATGAGATATATTAGCATGTGATTTTTTTTTAAATTTTAACTCTTCTTATTTATTATTAATAATTAATTACCTTTGAACAGTTTCTCGTTGTTCTGCAACCATTGTGGCAAGTTGTTGGAAAATATTTCCAAGTTCTGAAATTGTAGATTCGATAGATTCAATTGCTGATGCACGGCTATGAATATAATTGTCCTTTATTAATCAAATATACAAGTTATTAATTATAATCATCAAATATTTACAATATGAATTTTCTTTAAAATATTTAGTAGGTAAGTTACCTGTTGTTCTACTAGCTGTAATTGTTGTTGCTGTTGATGAGATTGTCCGGTTGACATGTCAAGTGCAAGAAAATCAGTATTTCGATTATCATTACGTTTTTGTGTTTTATATAATGGTGAATCACCTAATTAATAATGGCATGATAAATTAATCAACAGTAATTATAAAGGGAATATATACATAATATTTATAAATAAATATATTTACTAACCTGATGGCGTATTATTTGTATGTTGATTACTCGAAAACATAAATTGTTCCCTCCTATCTTTACTCTCTTTCATATTCTATCATACATTTTATTAATTATTTGATTAATAAAAAACGAATTAAACATTATAAAACATAATTAAATATTATGAGACATACTTGAGTCCTGATTTCCAATACATCTTTAAAACTCATACTTGTATTTGCTAATTTAGATTGCAACATCACCACCACATTTGAAGAATGTTCATCTGCTTGTTTATTATTCTTTTTATTTTCTCGAACATATTGTTGAAGAAGTGCTATTTGTTTATTTAACTTTGCAATATCTTGTTTAATTATATATGTCAATTCCTAATTATTTAATTATATAGAAATAATTTATTAATTAATGAAGCTTATGACAAATTAAATTTATTTAGTCATGGAGAGAGAAAGAAGAATGAATTCAATAGAATATAAATCATTTTTTTCTTTATTATAAGAATTGTTTTTACACAAAGTGAAAAAACTTACGCTTATTTCAACTGGACGATCGTCAAATAATGTTTTTCTTTTTGCCACTTGTATATAAAAGAATTTTTTTATAACAATTAGTGTAAATATATAAATTAATAAAGTATATTTATTAATCAAAGAAAATTTTTTTTATTATAAAGAAAAAACTTACAATTCGTCAATTTCTGTAATTTGGCTGCTGTAGAATTAATATCTTTGCCAATTGCAGATGCCATCCTTGAAAATTCAGTTTTATTTATTCCAACAAGACCGTTACTCCGACTTCCATTTGTTAATCTACCAATATTACTATCACTACCACTACTATTATTACTAATTAAAGAGCGTCTTTGTTCTAAATTATTTCTTGCTTGAAACCCATGACTGTTTGTTGACCATGATTTAATTGATTCAACAGCTGCGTGGAATTCAGATGTTCTATCTTTTAATGACATATTTTTAAAAGAATGTAATTTAATTAAAAGTTTGTTTGTTTTATTTGATCTAAAAGGTTTTAGCGTCTTAAACAATGGAACCTTTTTTCTTTATTATATATAAATTTAATTCCCATTTATGTCTGTGATCTACAAAACATTTTGAAAATTTTTTTTTATTTTTATATATAAAAATGGGTAAAAAAAAAACCAAGAGAAAAATCAAACCCAAGAAAAAACTTGTACTTGAAACACAATTTGATTGTGTGATTTGTAATCACGAGAGAAGCGTTGATGTGAAAATGTATTGTATTTTTAAAAAAGTGACTTCAAAAATCAATTGCTTAGATGTATATACATGTAATCAAAATATTTTTGCATTATACTTAGGCAAAAAGAAGCAAAAGTTGGAATTTTATCATGTAGAATATGTAATTCAGCTTTTCAAGCAACAATAAATCGTAAATATATTTCAACTTGATCAATGAGGATTTTTAAATACCATAATAATAAGAATTATTATTATCATTCTTTTCTTTAGCATTAAGTGATCCAATAGATGTATATTCTGAATGGGTTGATTATACTGAAGAAACTATGGAAAGTAGAAAAGATAATCATAACAACAACAACAATATTGATGTTAATAACAAGAAAACATCTATTCCTACCACTCCTACCACTCCTACCACTCCCACCACTCCCACCACTCCTATCCCCAAAGTTTATGATTCGGATGTTATTGTTGATGAAGATGACAATGAAGAAGATGACTATGAAATTTGATTACTTGAATTGTTAAATATATATTTCAAAAGGAGGAAAAATTTTAAAAATTATTTTTTATTTTTTTATTTTTTATATAAATAGCATTAAAGAGAAAGTAAAAAATTGTAAATATTTATTAGAATTTTAAATAATTATAAAGTAAATATTATTACCACATTACTACTATCAACATTATATTATTAGATATGAAAAATATAACTTTCAGAAATTGTGGAATATTTGACCCAACATTGAGGAAGTGACAAATTATTGTTCTCATACACTTTTAATCAATGAATCTGAATATTTGAGCATGTGTAATTTGGAATATCAAATTCAAGACTTTTTTTTGCCCAAAAATGATCATGATTTATACAACATTAATAATAACACATTGATATAAATCATTCCGTAACTTAGTAAAAAAGATCCAGTTTAAAGCTCACATTTCCAATAATGACACAGGTGACAATGATTTAATACCAGTAATCTATTGTTTAACAAAATCAATTAAATAATTTTAAAAAATAATCTCATCAAGAATGTACATAATGAATGCATCATTGCCAACCTTAATCTTGATTGATTGTTCAGTGCCACCTTTAAATTTAACAATAGTCCAAATAACTTTTCTTGATTGATTATCATATTGAGCCAATTGATCAATTGATCCATCCAAATTTTCATTAGAAACACTAAAATAAAAATGTATCTATGTAATATTTATTTTTTTTTCCATATTTCCAAAAAGGAAAAACAATTATAATACCTTAAAGTTGCTCTTGGAACAGGTATAATAACTAAACATTTATTGACAATAAAATTATCAGGGATATCAGCTCGAACACGTATAGTAACATCGATTCTATTTGAGTCATCAGAAATATCAGAAATACTTGGGAACACTCGAAATGGTAATCCAAAATTACCAGAAACTTGATAACTATAAAATAGTATGAATGATAAAATTAGTAAGAGTTATTATTGTTTGGATTAATTAACAATTATGACTCACCTCATAGAAATAAATTCTCTCTCTGATGGAATTATTGTTAATCTTTTATGTTTTTCAAAGTCTAATAATATTATAATTTATTATTATTATTATTCTGATCATCATCATCATCATCATCATCATCATCATCATATTATAATAATTCTTAAATTTTCAATTGACCTGTAAAATCAACAGTCATGAAATTTATAATCATCAAGAGTAATCCCATAATGTTCATCTATGCTTTCATCAAAAAAATTTATAATAATATTATTATTAATTAATAAATAATAAATAATAAATAATAAATAATAAATAATAAATAATAAATAATAAGTAATAAATAATAAATAATAAATAATAAATATTAATTAACAAATAATAATAATAATAAATAGTATTAATACCAATGGAATTTACATCTTGAGCAATTGTAAAATTATTATGTAAACCAACATGTATTTCTGAATTTGGTTGTAAATAACTCCTCACTTGAATCCCTCCATATATCTCAGATTGAACTGTCATTCCCTAAAAATGTAAATAGATAAACATATCATATGATTCATATATACTATATATTGTATTTTCATCACATACATTTGATGAGAACGTTGCTACTAATCTTTCAATAATATCAACAAAAACTTCATTTTGTCTTGTGTTTTTATTATCTAATCGACCATAAGTTATAGGTTTACTACCAGAAGATCCTAAAATAGTTCCTGACGATTTTAACTATTATAATGGTATAATTACTTTCATATTTTCATACCATCATCATTATTAGAAAGATTGATTAAAAATATACTTTTGCCAATGAATTTGTAATAATATTTTCTCGTTTAACTGACACTTGATCCTCATAAACATAATTGATCAATTGATTAGTTATTGTAGTCTGTGGATACCCATAATCCTAATTATTATAATCATTTTGTTATAGAATCAATGAAAGTGACCTTGATGAGAAATAAAAATAAAAATTGTCATTTTATATTACAACTCACAATCACTTCATTCAACAACTCATAAACCAAACTAGAATTTAATCGTATACTTTCTTCACTTAAAACACCACAAAATTCTTTAATCAATGCCACTATACGATCAAGTAATTCATAAACCATGAAAGGTGAAACATTAAATTTTGTTGTGCATGCAAAATATAGTCCTTGAACATTAGTAAATAGAATTTGAACTCCATCAACATTAAATGCTGGTGGCAAGCCTTGATCTAATATTCCATGTTCTTTATGCCAACTATGTATTCGTTCAAGAAGTAGATCTGCCACATCTTGTTGTATATCATAACGATCTAACAAATAATGAATTTTAATGTTGAATTGATAAATTTAAATCGAAATCGAAAAATGACTCACAATCATGAGATATAAGCATATCTCCACGTTGAGGCGATATAATAAAAATTTGTGAAATCATTTTGTATAGAGTAAATTGGAGATTAACAAAAATAATTATTTCCTTTCAATATAGGTCATAATAAAAATAAATTATTGATATGCCAAATCTGGATGTTAGTGTATGACAACGAGAAGATATGCATTTTTTTCAAATGGCTAAAACCATGATCAAATAAATGTGCAAATAATGTAATTTATTATTAAATAAAAATTAATTCGTTAAATGGAAAGAATCGACATACATAAAATATGGGTAATAGTAATTAATAGTCAGAATCCTGAATCGTTTTTTATTTGTAGAAATTTAAATGATAAAACGTCTCACTTTAACTGTAAATCTTTGTTTCAGTAGGTGAAATAAAACCACATTCACAATATGGGGCCTAAATGCAAGAGAATGGAGAGTAAAGGCGAGATACAACTAAATTGATTTACTACCTATCGAAGTCTTTAAAGCATTGTAATTAGTGGATTATAATTTATTATCATAATTACCATAGATCTGCTTTAGTGTTATTAACTTTATTATTATTATTATATTTAAAAATATAATAGTTTATTGAAAGATAACAAATATAACAGCTGATTTATAATGAGAAAACATAAGGTTTTTGAATAATATAATTAGAATCATTATTTAAATTTATAAAATATTAATTGGGAGTATGTCAAAATATTCTAGTTTTGGATACAAATTTCTGATTGGCCAATTTAAATTTCACGCACAACGTTTAGTAAAATAATAAAAAACCCCGATTTTTAGTGAATTCACACAAAGTATGATATTTGTCTACTAAATTATCAGATAAAAAATTTATTCACTAAGGTTTTTCTACCAGCTAACATCACCAGACAGAGTAAGTGAATACTGTAGTTTGGTTTATTTTTAATTAATATTGGTTATTCTTGATTCAAAAGGCAGAAAATGATTTCGTTAAATTTCCAGCACATAAAAATAGATTATTTGAACCATTTGAGATGAAACGTTTCGCTTCCAGCACAAACATTGGAACATTTTGTTTGAAATTGATTATATAATGGAATAAACGTTTTCTCGCTATTTGCGTCATTTTTGGTGCATAACGTGAGCATGACTATTTTGCATAATTTACTTTCGTTGCATGTATAGCCACTGCACACTTACAAAAAGGACTTGATTGGTCACCTTTTGCAAAAATTTGATTGTCCCAAAATGGTTTCCTTGGACAATAGAAGCGTCAGTGTTAATCATCTACTTGACAAAAATTATTTTGAAGCTGATTTTTCTGAAATATATCTAATCAATGTCATATATACATTTGAAATGTATTTAAAAGAGGTGACTATCTTTTGGAGTGATGCTCATATAAATTCGTTGGACGCAAATTCATTCATCGTTGACTAATCAATGTTAGAAGAGTATGGACGTTTAAACAAATGGCCAAAAGATCCTTACCGATGTAAAAGTATATATACGCATCCATGTATCAGTCAATTAAATAAAAATAAGGTTGATCCTTTGCTATTTATTATGTATATTGCGTGTTTTATGTGAAAATTAAACTGACCAATCAAAACACCATGCATTTATATTGGGTAATGACACGTTTAGAAAACATTGATTTTGTTATGCAGCAAAAAGACCTGGTCTTGTGTAATGAAATGTAATTGCATATTGACGAAAAGGAAAAAGAGGGAAAAGTTGATGAAAAGAAAAAATTGAAAAAAAAAGTTGGTGAGAGAGAAAAATATGACCATTTTCACTGAGATTTTTGTAATAATAATTTTTATTTAAACTTGTTTTACATTTTACATTTAAAACATTACTTTACTCTTTTGTATGAGTCAAATTTGGATCATCTGAGGGCATCTTCCTTAATTCATTCAACGAAATGCAGATGCTCTTACCAAACATCAATAATATTAAAAATTTCTACAACAGTTGGACGTTTATCTGGATTAGTATCCATGCATCTGTAAGCTAGTGTTGCATTCTCAATTGCCAGAAATACAATTCGTGAAAATTGAAATCATTCGTTGCCAGAGACTGCAAGAGCATGTTTATGTACGAAGAGCTGGATTATTAATAAATTAGGGGATTAATTCTTCACAATCAAGTATTTTTCCTCTATTTGCACAATCCCATTCCATTGAAATTTCTTCTCTTCTATATATGTCATATTCTATTTTTTTTTTAAATAAAAAAAAAATAATATATTTATTATAAAATATATAATTCTCAAACCACTTTCTAATAAATAATTACCCTACTCAGTTTGATTCATTGTTTTATTGTCACCTTTAATCAGTGACAATTTTGTTATATATAAATAAACATATTAGACATTGGATAATGCTAATTGTTGTTATTATAAATTAAATGACTTGATTAAACGTCTCTGTTCATACCTTCTTCTACTTTACTGCTGATCTTCAAGTAAAAATGATAAATCCTTCTTGAATTATTTTTTCGTGAACTAATCTCCAGAACTGTTAGAAATTGTCACTAGAAGTTCCGATTTATCTTGTAAAATGAATTTACACCAATGGTAATATATGTAATATATTAATGGATGGAGGCGATAGTTTTGTTATTGATTCAAGAAATAAAACCACAATTAAACATTTAACAAAAATGCTTACCTTCACAAGTGAATTTTCTGTGATCAAAATACCCAAGAGAAATTTAAAATTGTTTGGTAAAAAAAAGAGTTGTAGCTGAATGTTTTATTTGGTGGAATGGAAATGGGACACATAAATTAGGCTTAAACTCTCAATCCATTATAAGCAGGATCTATTATAAAAAGATCCATGAACTGTATATCAGAAAATAATAGAGAATCAATAAAGAAAAGAATAATGAAAATACAGGATAGAGCGATCAAAGATGGTAATGCTCACCAATGGCTTCCCTCGTAATTGATTGTTCTGGCAGTCCTTTGTCTTCTGTACCATATACTGTTATGAATAAGTAACCTTTATATTTTAATATTTATAAATATAATTAAAATCATTATATTTTTCTC